TAACAATTTTTACAGTTAATTTTCTCTTTTTCTGTTAATGAAACTCTTTTATATTGATTTTTCATATAGTTAGCATATAAATCAGCTCAATTTATTTTTTGATGGTTTTTTAATTTTTTTGATATTAATTTCAATTTTAATTGTATTAACATTTTATAAAACATAATTTACATTTTATTTGTTTTTGTTCATTTTTATATTACTTTTTTAAATAGTTCTTTTAGAGCTTTAGTTATTTATATTGATTTCTTTAATAGTTAGTTTAAAACTAAATTTAAATTAATTTTTATTTAAAGTATATTAAAATTTCTTTTGTTAAATTAACTTTTTCGTTATAGATTTTTTATATTGATTTCTTTAAAAGTTAGTTTAAAGTTAAATTTAAATAAACTTTTCATTTAAAGTATATTTAAATTTCTTTTGTTAAATTAACACTTTTTGTTATAGATTTACATTTTTTTATTGTTTTAGGTTTTGTGACATTTAATTTCTATTTTATTTTGACAAACGCCATAAATTTAGATTTCTAACATAACTTCTTTTATCTGTTTTGTTAGTTAAACTTTTTTATCTTTATTTTCCATTCTATCATGATATTTTTTATTTTTTGTGTATTTTGATTTATTCAAATTACTAACCATATTTAATATTTTTTTGTTTAATAAAAAATACTGATATGGACCAATCAAATTGAACTTTTCCGTCCTATGTGAATACTCTCAGTCTCAGTGCACTATGCCATCAACTTTTATATATTATAGATTTTTTTCATTTTATTCCTTTAACTGCCATTATTTTATTTATTTGTATTCTATATTTTTAAATTCTTTTCGTTCAGCCTATTTCTAAAACTAACAATCAGTTACAGCCTAACTGAAATAAAATAGAATAATCACGATTCTTTACACGTACAGAAAACATGGAAAAGTGATTGAATGGTTCTCATAATTAGAAAAGTATCTCAACTTTTAAAATAATAAAATAATAGAAAAAGATGAAAGAGAGATGAGATTTTCAAATAAAAAATTTAAGATACTCTCTTTAAATTTTTGTTTCTTTGTGATTGGTTAAATATTTTTTTTTAACTTATTAATTAATTAAAAATGAAATTATAGAAAAACTATTAATATTATATTAATTCAGATACTCAAATGAATATTTAATCATTAGAGTTTTTCTTAGCTTAATGATCAGTAAAACAATGCTAGAATTAAAATATCATTATTATTTGAATCCGAACTAAACCGATACTTGAATTTGGAAGCCATATAAACCGAACTAACATGGGAACTCTCTCTCTTGGGTGGGAAAACGAAGCTCCGGAAAAACTCATTTGCCGGCTTGACAGAGCAGTTGGAAATGAGGAATGATTCCATATTTTTTCCCACACAAATGTGGAGTATTTAAAACTTTGGGGTTCAGATCACAGACCAGTCCTGGCGCTTATACATTCACATGTTCGCCAAACTAAGAAGAGCTTTAGGTTTGACAATCGTTGGATAGGTAAACCTGATTTTAAGGAGGCAGTGGAAACGGGATGGGTTTCTCAGATGACTATCCGTGTTGGAATGTACATCAAAAATTATCCTCATGTCGTAGGACTATCTCCATCTGGAAAAAGACTTTGCCAACAAACACAACAAGACTTATCGAAGTTTTAAAAGACCAGCTAGACACAGCCCAAACTAATGATAATACTACCCTAGAAGAGATAGACGAGCTCAGGAGGAGACTTATTGAGGCTTTTTGCGAGGAGGAACAGTTCTGGCGACAAAAGAGTAGAGTTACATGGCACACTAAAGGAGATAAGAACATGAAATTCCACCATGCCATTACTAAACAAAGAAGAGCTCGAAACCGTATTATTTCCCTTAAAGATAAGAACGGTTCTTGGGTTGAAAGTGCAAAAGATATTGAAAAGGTAGCAACCCACTACTTCCAAGACCTCTTCACATCCTCCTCTCCTCCAGATCATGTGGATTCACTCCGATTTATTACCGAGAAAGTCTCTGCCGACACAAACTCCTCTCTTCTAGCGGACCCCTCTAATGAAGAAATAAAGGCGGCGTTGTTCGATATAAATCCCGACAAAGCCCCAGGTCCTGATGGTATGACAAGTAGATTTTTCCAGAAGTTCTGGTCAACCATGAGCCAGAACATAACAGGACTAGTTAAGGACTTTTTTGCCACCGGGAAATTTGACCCAAGACTAAACCAGACGAACATTTTTCTTATCCCTAAGAAAGATAAGCCGAGAACAATGGCAGAGTTCCAACCAATAAGCCTCTGCAATGTGACTTATAAGATCATCTCAAAGCTTCTTTGCAAGAGACTAAAGAAAGCTCTCCCGATCTTGATATCGGAGACCCAATCAGCCTTTATAGCTAGACGTCTGATTACAGATAATATTATGTTAGCCCAAGAGAACTTTCATGCTCTCCGAACCAATCCTATGTGTAATTCGAAGTATATGGCCATAAAGACGAACATGATTAAAGCATATGATAGAGTTGAATGGTATTTTTTAGAGGCTTTACTGCTTAAGATGGGTTTTGCTGAGAGATGGGTAAAGCTCTTGATGTTCTATATCTCATTGGTCTCTTATCAAGTCCTTATCAATGGAGAGGCCAAAGGGAGGATAAAGCCTTCTAGAGGCCTTTGCCAAGGCAATCCCTTGTCACCCTTTCTATTTATCATCTGTACAGAAGCTCTTGTCTCCCTCCTGAAAGGAGCAGAAGGAGAAAAATGCCTAACGGGTCTGAGGATAGCAAGGGCTAGCCCAACGGTATCTCATCTCCTCTTTGCTGACGATACTCTCTTCTTCTGCAAAGCGGAAGTTCTGCATGTGCGGAGATCTTTGACATCATCAAATCATATGGAGAAGTGTCGGGGCAATTACTAAGCCCGGAAAAATTTTCCATCATGTTTGGGAGCAAAGTTTATACCTTGGTCAAACAAGAGATCAAAACAGCCATAGGTATTAGGAATAAAGGAGGTATTGGTATGTATTTGGATCTTCCAGAGAAGATATGTGGCTTAAAGAAGAAGGTTTTTGTTTATGTACAAGACCGCTTGAGTAATAGGACCAACTTATGGTCGGCAAAACTAATATCAAAAGGGGGGAAAGAGATCCAAATAAAATCGGTGGCCCAAGCGATTCCGATATATGTTATGTCATGCTACCTTCTCCCACAAGCTATGACTAATAAACTCATGAGTGCTATCGCTAACTTTTGGTGGAGTTTCAAACAAGATAGTAGAGGATTGCACTGGATCGCTTGGGAAGAGCTATGCTCCCCAAAGGAGTTGGGTGGTTTGGGATTCCGCGATCTGCGAGATTTTAACTTAGTCCTCTTGGCCAAACAGTTATGGCGCCTACTTCAATTCCCCTCTTCTCTTCTAGCAAGGGTCTTCAGGGGACGATATTACAGAAATTCAAATTCCCTAGGTGACCAAAATTTTTATTCTCCATCACTTTGGTGGCAAAGCCTCATGGCAGCGAAACATCTACTTCGGAGCGGACTTCGCAAAATAATCGGATTAGGTTTTAACACGGAAGTGTGGAATGAGCCATGAATACCATCCATTCCGGCCAGGACGGCAAGACCAGCAAACCCGAGTAGACACCATGACGGAAAGCTGTTGGTTCATGGTCTAATAACCCCCCTTACTAAACAATGGGACGAGAGGCTTCTCCGGGAGCTGCTTCACCCAGAAGACATCCCCTTGGTTCTAGGGTTGCGGCCAAGCCGGGTGTTTACTCTTGATGGGTATGCTTGGAGTCATACAAAATCAGGGGTTTATACAGTTAAATCTGGTTACCATCAAGCAAGACAGATCAGAAATGATAAAGTGATATATAAAGCATGTGAACCGAGCATCGCACCACTCCTTAGTCAGGCCTGGAAGGTCCTAACAGCAAGTAAGCTCAGACACTTCATGTGGCAATCCTTATCAAGCTGTGTGGCCACATGTGAACGCCTCAGATATCGACACATCGACATGGAAGCTAGATGTCCAAGATGTGGAACGTCAGAAGAAACGATAAACCATCTCCTCTTCGACTGCCCCCTTGCTTTACAAGTGTGGGTCCTTTCAGATTTTTTGTCAGTTCCGGGTAACTTCCCGAGTACATCTCTCTACCAGAATATGGATTTTCTATTTTGGAGAGTAGAGGAAAGGGGCCTCGCCGGCCCCGAAAATGATATTTTTCCTTGGATCTTGTGGTACATATGGAAAGCTCGAAATGAAAAAGTTTTTAACGGTAAATTAGTTACCCCAGTAGAGACTCTTCAACTGGCTCGACTTGAGGCGGAAAGTTGGAGAACGGCAAACCAAAAGGAGGAAGAAGAAGAAGAAGAGACTCTCACGCCTACAGACATCTCGACCACCCTCCCCAGGCCGTTCCAAGTTCCTACTTGTCAGATTAATACCTCTTGGATTGATCACAGACCGGTTAGTGGGCTTGGGTAGAGTTTTGAGGACGTTGGAAATCACCTCTAGTTTGGTATGAGGGGCTGCCAGAGGAGCCTGTCATCTCTTCATGCTGATTTTGAAGGACTTTTCTGGGCAATGTCTTGCCTCAGAGAGAAGAGTGTTAACACAGCTAGGTTCGAGACAGATTGCTCGGTTTTAATTAAGATGATTGAAGAACCAACTAACTGACCTGCTTTTATCTCAGAGCTTGACTACTTTATTTTTTTACATTGAGAATTCGAGATATTAAATTTATATTTTATTTTATGAGGTCAAAATATCTGTGTCGATACCCTCGCTAAAAAGGCACGAGCACACGGATCACAGTTTTCCCATATAGATCAAAATGAGCCGGATCAAACCGATACAATTTGATTTAATTTATGGAGTATGTTGGAAAAAAAAAACATGGTATATTGGTATATCTATTTAATATCCGTCCGAATAATTTCTCTATCTTTTTTTTTCTTATAATCTCTGTATCTTAAAACCCACATTTCTTATCTTTTCTTCATCTCCACTCGATGGGGACTCTCACGAGCGTCGCTTTCGCAGCTGCGATTAACATCAGATTCCGGTCGTTTAATTGGAATATCCGGGATAAGATTAAGAAACCAATGCCCAAGGTTAGTACATCACTGAGAGAGAGATACTGTTTCTCTTGCACAGAGAACTATTATAGATATGGGGTAGTTAAGTGTTTAGGCAATGATCAAAACGGAAATAGCGGAGAAGACGAAGACACCAATTCTTCGGTTGTTAGAGATTCGACTGTAAAAACGGCATCTCGTGAAGAAGACAAAGAAGAAGAAGCAGACGAGAGAAGTAACGAGTTCGGTTCCGATAAGACGTCTTCTGTTTCTTCAAGGGTACAAACTCTTGTCTCTGATTTTACATTCTCTTTTGTCTTGAATTCAATTGTAAGAGTGAGTGTACAATTACTTACATTAAAGTTTCACTATTATTCCTGAATTAATCAAAGCAAAACTGGCTTTAGCTTTTCTACTTGTAGTTGCTTACATTGTAAGAGAACTTTGTTTCAAAAAAAAAAAAAACCAAATCTGTTTAGTGGAAACTTGGAAAAGATATGGATTCAGTGATGGGTCTGTTTCGCATTTCACAAAGAAATGTGAAAGAATCACTAATTGCCTAGAAAACCATCTCCTAACTGTTAGAGTCTAACATAAGTAAGAATTGAAGATCTAAAACTAGGATTTGAAGCCATCTAGATTAGTATGTTGTTTGTTGGAATCAAAGCCTTGTGTTACTAAAGAGTAGAAGTTTGTCTCTTTTCACAGCCATCAACTGAATCGCCTATTGATCCGACATTCAGCAGCTTCCAAATAGACTCGTTTAAGCTGATGGAGCTTCTTGGACCTGAGAGAGTGGATCCTGCAGATGTCAAGTTAATAAAGGACAACATTTTCGGCTATTCGACATTCTGGGTGACCAAAGAAGAGCCGTTTGGGGACCTCGGCGAGGGTATCCTCTTTCTTGGGAATCTGAGAGGTAAGAGGGAGGATGTTTTTGCAAAACTACAGAGAAAACTAGCAGAGGTTGCTGGAGATAAATACAACTTGTTCATGATTGAGGAGCCTAACTCGGAAGGACCAGATCCTCGTGGAGGCGCACGGGTTAGCTTTGGTTTGCTTCGTAAAGAAGTCTCGGAGCCAGGACCAACCACACTCTGGCAGTATGTGATTGCTTTAATATTGTTTCTTCTTACAATTGGTTCCTCTGTGGAGTTAGGAATTGCTTCTCAGGTACCTTTTTTTCCCCAGGAGCACTACATCATTATGTCATTGATCTTTAGTGCAACCACATATATGCAATAATGGAGGTTTCTTGATTCTAACAGATTAACCGTTTGCCTCCTGAGGTGGTAAAGTATTTCACCGATCCAAATGCTGTTGAACCACCTGATATGGAGCTTCTATATCCATTTGTAGAGTCTGCATTGCCTTTAGCTTATGGTGTCTTGGGAATACTTTTGTTTCATGTAAGTTGAAAATTTGTGTGTTTCTACAGTAATGTGGAATGATAAACCTTCATGTATTGGTGGTATCTGCTTTTCATTTTTTTCATTTAGACTTTTTTATTTGCAGGAATTAGGGCACTTCCTTGCTGCAGTTCCGAAGAAAGTAAAACTTAGCATTCCTTACTTCATTCCGAACATAACACTCGGCAGCTTTGGTGCAATCACCCAGGTACTATTCCTCATCATGTCTGTTACAACTCTTTATGTTCAGGACTCAGGGGACTTATCTCCTGTTACACTCTATGTGTTTCACATGAAGAAGACATCTTTCAAAGTTATTTGAAGAAACAAGGAACCTACTATGGCCGGAAATGCTTCCATCTACTTCTCTTCTTAAATCTATCCATTGATGACGAGCTGAACATTTTTAAGTTTTTTCGAAGACAAGTCTATTGGCTGATGTAGTAACGCCGTTTACTTGATTTGTACAGTTCAAGTCCATTCTTCCCGACCGGAGTACAAAAGTAGACATTTCACTAGCTGGTCCATTCGCTGGAGCTGCACTTTCAGTTTCCATGTTTGCTGTTGGTCTGTTCCTATCTACTAACCCGGGTGCAGCTAGCGATCTGGTGCAGGTTCCTAGCATGTTATTCCAAGGTTCATTACTTCTTGGACTCATCAGCAGAGCAACTCTGGGATACGCGTAAGCTCTCCACCGCTAGCTAGCGATTGTTCAACATAGACTAAAAAAAACTTTAAATCCAACATCCGTTTCTGTTTTCCTTATTGATTGCAGAGCGATGCATGCTGCAACAGTTTCAATCCACCCTCTTGTTATTGCTGGATGGTAGCGTCTAATGCCTTGACTCATGCCCTATTATTCCTCAGAAACTGTGACAATTTTTTTGCTTACTTTGAAGAATAATTGTTAGGTGTGGTTTGACAACAACGGCTTTTAATATGCTTCCTGTTGGATGTTTGGATGGAGGAAGAGCTGTACAGGTACTTCTTTTATCTATGAAATAGTAATCTTTAAGAAAGTAGAAGCCTAATGTTGCTCAGTAGAAATTTTGGTTACAAAATGTGAACTTCTCCCAAGTGTATCTTGTCATTCGACCTTGCTGTAGTTGATTGAAGTTTGTAGTGTCGTAAATCCTGAAAAAAATTGTGTACTCCAATTGAAGACTATGAACTGAAACATATGGGCATGGCTCTTGTGCAGGGCGCATTTGGGAAAAATGCACTGGTTACATTTGGTTTGTCGACCTATGTAATGCTTGGACTCAGAGTGGTATGTTCAATCAACTGTTCTGAGCCATGTTCTGCTGTTAATATAATTTGTGCTCTTGAACATGTGAGCTTGAGCTTTACGGTATTTGCTTACATTTTCAGCTCGGCGGCCCTTTGGCACTTCCTTGGGGGCTCTATGTGCTAATCTGCCAGGTACTCAAGAATTTCTGAACTCTGCAATTTCCAACAATGCGAGTAAGCCTTACAAAGCTGTTTCTAAAAATGTTTTTCAACAGAGAACACCTGAGAAACCGTGCCTGAACGATGTGACCGAGGTTGGAACATGGAGGAAGGGCCTTGTGGCGACCGCGATTATACTGGTGGTTCTGACACTCCTGCCTGTATGGGACGAACTCGCAGAAGAGGTAGGCATAGGGCTTGTAAACACATTTTGATGTTTATTGTGTTGTGTATGTAAACAGATGTTGTAGTTAGGGTCGAGCAGATGCAAATTTTTGTTATCGGCATCATGTGATGAGTCATGTATGTACACTGAAGCTGGTGATGAATGAAGTTTATACTTCTGACTTGTGCTCTTGATCCACATTATACATTCATGTAATTATTTTAATTCTTCAAATATTATACTTCATTTAACTCCAGAACCGTATATATTGTCAAAGGAGACAATAGAGAATAGCATATTAATATTTTCAAAAATAGAATTAACGCAAATGTGAACAAAATATGGCTGTATTCTCCTTCTAGAGTTTGATTCTACTTGAATTTGCTACAAAGATGAGACTGGTCTTGAAGAGAAGGTATAAAAAAAAGATGCCATTGCCACCTAGAAGAACCAATAATCATAAGTTAATGCAAATCTCCATATTAGCTACACAAGCATGAAAATTGCAGGACACCTTAGTTTTCTTAAGATCGATGCTAAAAAAACAAGGGTTTCGACAAAAGCAATACCATTAATCTTTGAATATCAGAAGTACGAATGATATTTAATGTGACTGTGGGAGAAGCCTGCAAGTGGGGCAATACCATTTCCCTTTGAATCTGGTCTCAGGTGTGAGGCCAACGCATGTGTAGTGAAACCATTCACCTCCTTGACACTGTCCAAACGAAAAAAAACGATCACATTGTTTCAATATAACTAAAATGGAGAACATAAGTTACATAATAAGTTGTTACAGAACAGACTCACATTCTTCTCATTGTCACAGGCAATCATGTCTCCAAAGGACACCTGAGAAAACAAAAATTAAACAAGAGTTAATCAATGATCACAATATGATCAGCAACCAAAAGTTCTTGAAGATAAGTTTTCAGGACCTGATGGCAGACACAGTAAGTTGGTTCGTTTGGATCGATTGGCTGTTCGTCAATAGGGGCGAAGTCTTTTCGATGGCTTCCTGGCGGAGGCATGAGCTCAAAATCCCTGTCACGATCCCACTCTCTGTCTCTGTAATCAATCTTTTTAGACTGAGGTGTGCCATAGAAGGACTTGCGCTTTTCCTGTTTAGGAACTATAGGTAGTGGAGGAAGAACAGACGGCTCGTCTGGTGGAATTTTTCCCTCTGATACACAAGAGTCACAAGAAATAAACATATGCACATAGAGAGGGCGATATTATGGAACAGGTTTAACTTTTTCAATCAAAGAATCATTTCATTAGAGAGGAATGAAAGTAAGGCCATATATATGATTTGATAACATGGAAGATGAGCATTTAAGTTTCTCTGACGCTTGAAACTAATCGATATGCACTGAAGTTTATGCAGGTGGAAAACATTTTTGTTTCTTTTCTGGCTAACCCTTAGGGAGTTGCTCTAGAAGAAGTTTACAAGATATTGTTGTATAAAGTAAAGAGCCAAAAGATTAAAGCAAACGTGACCCTTTACTGATTAAAACAAGATGAATTCAAAGATTCCCCACAATAATATTATTCTTGTCCCAAGGATATTAACCTCCCAAAAAGATGTAGAACACTTGGCCTAACTCCCTTAACTCAGACGCTTATTTAGATAATCAGCAACCGACTAATCTCAATCAATCGCCAACCAAACTGTACCCAAAGCCATGCGAGATTGACTCACATGTTTAGAATCGATTGAGTGAATAGCCATAAGAATATGCAAATACATATTTGTAATCAAATCCCCTGGAGAAGACAGTAAATAGAAGATATCACATACCTTGCTTTAAATCTTCAGCAAAATTATTCAGATCCTCATCAAGTCGTTTAATATGACTGTCTATCTGTAACCGGAATAAACATAAAAGTTATCACTGCGATTAAAATTGCTGAAACATCCAATGGAGCTGTATTTAAATCTCAGTAACAAGGTCTACCATTTTCAAGAATCTGATTCAATTTAAGCTCTATTTCATTTCGTGACAGTAGGTAGCACAACAGCTACTTATTATACACACATATCCATTACATGATATTTTTCTTGTGACCATTATGATTGCAGAAAAAGGAAGACTTGGAGGAATATAGAGCTTACAAGATCATACGCTTGTCGGGCCAATAAGACCTTCTCTGTACACAAACTTAATGCATTTTCCTGACTAGACTCAATCTCTTTACGCATTTTCTCAATCGTTTCGTCTTCATCAAGACCATTGTTGTAATGATTGTAGCCACTTCCCTTCTTGGAACTCTGTGAGGCAAGCCCTAAGCAATACTTAGTTTGCTGCCTCGTCTGGTTTATGAGCGCTTGAAAACAACAAAATCAAAAAATTCACAAAAGTCACAGAGAAACAAATGATAATAAAAAAATGTATTGATGAAAGTTTGTTACATTGAGATCTCTCGTCTAGTTCGCGAACTGTATTTAGCAATCTTTGAAGCTCCGCAGGGAAAGTGCTGGCATCTACAAGAATTTGAAATTTTCAGATGATCCAGAATCAAAAACGAAACCCTAAATCGAACTAATTTATCGCAACTAGACATAATTTCTCAAATACGTAGAGGATCTTATTGAATCTTACACTCAAGGTAATCATCAACGTAAACTCCAGTTCGAGCAATTGCCATTTTTGAATTTGATTACTGTGCTAGCTAGGGTTTTGAATCCGGAATTAGAAATGCAGATTCGAAGCGATGTGGTTCAGGAGATTTTAGGGAGCGATGCGGTTCGGGAAATTCAGTTCTTCGTGTTGTTTTATGTTTTCTCTTTTCTGGAATAAATGGCTGAAATGCCACTATTTCACAAAAACTAATCTCGTATGCCAAAACCTAAGAAAATACTTATATATCCTTAAGAATTTTGTTATTAACCAACCCAACTGTAATTTTACCCACCCAAACCCAATAACCCATTAAACCCACCCGCTCCATGAAACCCCACATTAATCTTTTTCTATTTTTCTCCAATTCTCCAACTTTTCTCAATTTTTCTCACCTACGGATCTGTTCGGTTCCGACCACACTCTTTCAAAATTCTCATCGATTTATTGGAGAATATCGGTTTATGTATTTCTGGTTTAGGTTAATTAGATTAATTCAGCTTTTTTTTACTGGGTTGATTAAATCAATTGTACAGTACTAGTATATATACGTTTGTACATACACATTTTCGGAATAAGATGAATAAATATCTTTCATAACAAATTTCTTATCTCGTTCATCCCTCTCTCGTAATATGGTATCATAGCAATTGAGCTCAAATTTCTGTTGATTTCTCGTGAATTTCGTCATCTTCGAGCTCTATTTTGGTTTCGATCTCTGAATTCCAAGCTATAATGGTGTATGTGAAGAGAATCGCTACTCGACGATCTGTTTGGGTGGGTTCGACAACAAAAAACTCAGCTTCACTCGATTCTCCGACGATCCAAGGTTCGGCGAATCGTTCTATGCAAGCTCGTGGTGTTGTAGACAGCTCCGATTCTATTCATTCACCATTTTTCATGCACAGTTCCGATCATCCAGGTTTGCAACTCATTGCCACTCGCCTTGATGATACAAATTATGATGATTGGAACGCTGCGATGTTGATTGCTCTTGACGCAAAGAATAAGATCGGTTTCGTTGATGGATCGTTACCTCGTCTTGCTGAATCTGACTTTAATTTTCGATTGTGGTCTCGATGCAACAGTCTGGTTAAGTCATGGTTGCTTAACTCAGTATCTCCTCAGATCTATCGTAGTGTTTTACGTATGAATGATGCTACTGATATCTGGAAAGATCTACACAACCGGTTTCATTTGACTAATCTCCCTCGAACCTTCAATATCACACAAGAAATTCAAGATCTTCGTCAGGGATCCATGTCATTATCCGAATATTTCACCACTTTGAAAACGTTGTGGAGTAATTTGGAGAGTGCAGAAGAACCTGATGATCCTTGTACGTGTGGTAAGGCGGCTCGTCTGCAGCAGAAAGCAGAAAGAGCTAAAATAGTCAAGTTTCTCGCCGGTTTGAATGAATCTTATGCAATAGTTCGTGGACAGATCATAATGAAGAAGGTGCTCCCTACACTTACTGAGGTTTATAATCTTCTTGATCGGGATGTCAGTTAGAAAGGTTTCTCTACTGCTGCTCCTCCTGCTTCCTTTCAAGTCTCTGAGAGCAACTATGTTCCTTCTTCTGAGGTTATCTGCTACGTTCAGTCAGGTCCTAACAAGGGACGTCCCATTTGTTCATATTGCAACAAAGTTGGTCATATTGCTGAGAGATGCTACAAGAAAAATGGATTCCCTCCTGGATATACTCCCAAAGGCAAGGCATCTGATAAAGCACAGAAAGCCCCTCCTGTTGCAGCTCAGGTAGCTTTGTCTCCTATTCAGGAAGTTAGTCACCCTAGTATGGACAGTTTGATCGGCAATCTCTCCAAGGAACAGATTCAGCATTTCATTGCTCTGTTCAGCTCTCAACTTCAGCCGTCATCAACTACTCGTCCTACTGATGCTAGCACTTCTAAGTCTTCAAATGTGAATCCTGGTATCACATTTTCTCCCTCCACTCTCTGTTTTGTTTGGAATATTGATAGTGTCTCATCACACCTTATGCGTTGATTCATGGGTGATTGATTCTGGTGCAACTCATCATGTTGCTCATGATCGTGATTTGTTTGTAACCATGAATACTTTAATTATGAGTTCTGTTGCAACTCATCATGGGTGATTGATTCTGGTGCAACTCATCATCTTCCAACTGGTTCTACCATCAAAATCAGTGGTGCGGGATCAGTTCGATTAAATGACAACATTGTTTTAGCAATGTTCTATTTATTCCGGAGTTCAGATTGAACTTGATCAGTATAAGCTCTTTGACATCTGATTTGGGTTCCAGAGTGATTTTTGATGCTTCTTCTTGTACGATTCAGGAGCCTCTTAGGGCTGTGACGATTGATCACGGTAAGCGAATTGCAAACCTCTATGTGCTAAGTACCAGGAACTCTACATCAGCTTCAGTCAATGCTGTCGTGGATGTTGGGATGTGGCACAAGAGGCTTGGACATCCTTCTTTTTCAAGATTGGATGCTATCTCCGATGCTTTGGGAACTACAAGGCATAAGAATAAAGATTCTGCTTATTGTCATGTTTGTCATTTGGCTAAACAGAAGAAGCTCTCATTTCCCTATCCTAATAATATTTGTAATACAAACTTCGAGTTGTTACACATTGATATTTGGGGACCTTTCTCAGTTGAATCTATTGATGGATATCGTTATTTTTTGACCATTGTTGATGATCATTCAAGGGCTACTTGGGTATATCTGTTGAAGACAAAATCAGAAGTTCTCGAAGTTTTTTCTGCTTTTGTTCATCAAGTTGAAAATCAGTTTGCTACAACAGTGGAGTCTGTTCGTTCTGATAATGCTCCAGAGCTACGCTTCACTGAGTTTTATAAATCAAAGGGCATAGTTGCGTATCATTCTTGTCCAGAGACACCTGAGCAAAATTCGGTTGTGGAGAGAAAGCATCAACACATCTTGAACGTAGCTCGCGCACTTATGTTTCAATCTGGAGTTTCTTTACCTTTTTGGACTGATTGCATCGCACATTTGGTTGCTTGTGTTATGGTTCTACATCTCCGAAACAACGGCATAAGTTTCTTCCTCATGCTCGTGATTGTCTGTTTTTGGGATATCCTCACGGTTATAAGGGCTACAAATTGATGGATTTGGAGAGCAATGCTATCTTTATTTCTCAGAATGTGGTATTCCATGAAGACATTTTTCCTATGCGTCAAGACAAGGTTGAAGTTCCTTCTTCCGATATCTTCACACCACTCACTCCTCTGTCTTCAGGTACACCTCATCCTCTTCATTCTCCTCCTTCACAAATTTCTATCCCCATTTCACCAGATCACATAGGCAGGACACGAAAAATTCCTGCTCATTTATGAGATTATCATTGTTATAACTTTGATTCCCCTCTTAATCATCCCATTTCTGATTCTCTTTCTTATTCCAAACTGTCACCCTTTTTTTATTCTTATATCAATACCATCACTAAAATTCCAATCCCTCAATCTTATTCTGAGGCAAAGGATTCTTTAGAGTGGTGTGGAGCTATTGATAAGGAATTTGGTGCTATGGAACTGACTGAGACGTGGGATGTTACTAGTTTGCCTCCGGGAAAGAAAGCTATTGGTTGCAAATGGGTTTTCACTTTGAAGTTTCATGCCGATGGTAGTCTTGAACGGCATAAATCTCGTTTGGTTGCCAAGGGTTATACGCCGAAGGAAGGTATTGATTACACTGAAACCTTCTCACCTGTTGCAAAACTCGCTACTGTTAAGTTGTTGTTGAAAGTATCTGCCTCTCGGAACTGGACTTTGCAACAACTGGATGTCTCAAATGCTTTTCTTAATGGAGATTTGGATGAAGAAATTGTTATGAAACTTCCTGAAGGCTATGCTGCAAGACAGGGGGACTCTCTGCCTAAGAATGCTGTGTTATGTCTCAAGAAATCTATCTATGGACTTAAAAAAGCTTCTCGGCAATGGTTCCTGAAGTTCTCTGCAGTTTTGATCCGGTTTGGTTTTACAAAAGGGACAGGGATCATACCTTGTTTGTCAAATGTTGTGAGGGTGGTAACTTCATGGCCGTACTAGTTTACGTCGATGACATTATTGTGGCTAGTACTGATGTTGCTGCTTCTGCTCAGTTTACAACGGATCTTTCTGCCTGTTTTAAGCTCCGAGATCTTGGTCCCTTGAAATATTTTTTGGGCTTGGAAATTGCTACTGGGATCTCACTTTGTCAACGTAAATATGCTTTAGAACTGCTCACTTCCGTTGGCATGTTAGGTTGCAAGCCTTCCTCTACTCCTATGATTCCTAATATGAAGCTTTCTAAAGAGGATGGTGATTTGCTTTCGGATAGGGAGATGTATAGAAGTCTTGTGGGCAGATTGATGTACTTGACTTTCACCAGACCTGACATTACGTTCGCTGTCAATAAGTTGTGTCAGTACTCCTCTGTTCCCCGATCCTCTCACCTCAAGGCCGTCTATAGAGTTCTCCAGTACATCAAAGGTACTGTTGGTCAAGGCCTATTTTATTCGGCTGATTCTGATCCTACACTGAAAGGATTTGCTGACTCTGATTGGGCCTCTTATCCGGATAGTCGTCGTTCTACCACTGGTTTCTGTATGTTTCTTGGATCTTCCCTCATTTCCTGGAAATCCAAGAAACAGGACACTGTTTCTTGCTCCTCGGCAGAAGCAGAGTATAGAGCATTGAACTTAGCTTCCAAAGAGATGGTTTGGCTCAAGAAATTACTTACTGATCTTCAGGTACCATCTGTTGACACTCCCATCCTGTTTTCAGATAGTACTGCAGCGATTTATATTATCACCAATCCGGTTTTTCATGAGCGAACTAAACACATCGAAACGGATTGTCATTCTGTGCGTGAGAGATTAGACCGAGGGATCATCAAGACTCTTCACGTTCGCACTGAAGATCAGGTTGCAGATATTCTCACTAAACCTTTGTTCCCTTATCAGTTTGAACATCTCAAATCCAAGATGAGTCTTCTCAATATCTTTTGCAGCTCATCTTGAGGGGGACTATTGGAGAATATT